GATTATTATTTCAAGTAAGCTCAGCATCTTTGATCATTGATGGAGGTACATTATTTTACAGCCTCGTGTTATTGTTCACCTCTAATATAGGCTATTAGTAATCCTTCAGTTGCCTCGGATTTACTCCCTGGTTATCAAAACAATATCTAGGATTTATTAACTTAATATTCTACTATCACATTTGTATGTTTCACATATTATTTTTTGTGCAAGAGCTTGAGATGCGATGAGGAGAAAACAAGTACCAGTAAATCTTTGCTAGCATTTGTTAACATTTATTCAGTTGTGAGAATTGTTCTTAGCAATACCCTGGGTGCTCGTTTTGTATTCTTCACCTAGACATTGTTTTACCATGGATCAAGATAACTACCTAGACTGTGGTGCCAGGATGGATCAATAATTTTCCAATGCCAAGTGCATTTGCTCAGTCTGAATGTAATGGGAAAATGACTCATTCTTCATCTATTGCACTTCAAACTGCAAATGTGAAATTTTTGTCACTGTGGATCATATTTTAATAACCAACTAACCTTTGTTTTTTATAGGTTTGTTGTGTAATTTTTTTTATTCTTTATGTGTGTGTCATCATGTATTTATCTTTCACTCTTCATTGAATAAATTCCTCTTTAATGCAAAAACAATTAACAGATGTTCGAGGTATAAGAAGATTTTTTAGAAGGTAATGTCCACTGATCAGGGGCCAACTGAAGCCACTTAAGAGCCGCGAAAATGCAGTTCCACTAATGGTCACTAGAGGAATACTGATACACACAAATCTACTGAGGTTAACTGGGAAACTCCCCAAACTTCTCCCATGTTTTATGGTCTGTGGTTCATTATCCAGTTTGAAATCCATCATCTCACAAAGTTGATATTAGAGATTATGGGGAAATATTCAAAGCATGTAAGCTTAATTGGCAGGTGTCTTAGTTAAGAAATGACAGCTTGTCCCATGTCCGTTCCACCAGACTCTTCCTCTCTGCCCACACTTGTATTTTCTGACTTATTAAAACAGACACGTTTTTCTGAAGTTTTAGCACAATGTGAAAATAAATGTTCGGTTTTGTGTTTCTAATGTCTGTTTATCTTTGTATGTTTGTGTGGTGACACCACTGAAGAGTAACTACCACAAAGGTAGTTTTGTGTGCTTGGGCAGGTGTTTATATATCTGTCCATCTCTTTGGAAACAGGTTTCTAATGTGTTAACACTCCAATTGTGCATTGCATACTGTAGCAACATTTGCAGATGTAAAGTTTGAAGACTGATGTTGTACAACTCTTAAGCACCACTGCCACTGTGTGACCCCAGTGCAGGATGGTCACCAGTCCCGAGTCCCTAGTTTATTTGAGTTTAACTGTACATGCATTAAATCTGATCTTATGCTTTTTCTGTGTCTTGTGACTCATCGACACTAAACATGTGAACAATTTATTAGCTGTTAAACTCATTTGTGCTTTTTATTGCTTCACACTCCACAATGCATACTTTGATATAACATTATTGCATCAATGTCATTTCTGTCCACTGTAATAGGCAAAAGAAATGGCACATTTAATCAATGTTTGCTCTCCGGAATAAATAAATAACTTATTCAAGTCAAGCAATATGAACTTTTTTTATTCACCTGATTGCATTTTATCCCATTCTATAAGATGCTGTTTCCTATACTTTTTCCAGATTCCAGAATATCTGTTTTTACCTTACTTTACAGTAAAAAAAAAAAAAAGTTAATTATGTTCACAAATGGAAAATCTTCTTAACAATCACAATGTCTGAAAATTTCTTTCACATAAGAACAAAGGACACCTTTGCTACTATGAAATTGCGAGTAGATATCGTCACACACAATGATAGCAAAATCTTTGATTACACATATTTTCTACCAGACCTCACCTTCACTACCCTAATTATCTATCAATGAAGAGAGAAGTAATCGATCAATACCTGAAGAAACTCTTTGTCCAAACAAGCTATCCCTTGCACATAAAAACACACAGAAATTGTGTGCATGGTGACTCCACATGACAGAGAAACGTAACTGTAAAGTACAAAAAAAGGAGAGAAACAACATATAACCTTTCATCAGCACAACTGCAGCCTTGCTTTCCACCCGGTGATTTGGCTAATACTATGAAAGCTGCAGGTTTATATTTATAGGCTCCAAATGTTCCCAACATATGTACATAGGTAAATTCTGTGTGAAAGAGCTCTGGTTCTCAGTGCAGCTGCACACTTTAAGTCATGAAATGTGATAACTCAACACATGTGCATCTGTGCAATGCATCAACTGCTGAGGAAAACCTTCAGAGTCACCTCAAGTCATCCACATTAAAGCCTTCATGTCCGAGTGTAAATGTAGCAGAAAAGTGAGGGAATGCTTATTCCTCCACACTGTGCATGGATATTAACACTAACTCCTGTCATAAAAGAAGGTAAAGGTGTATAACTTTAAAAAAGAATTATATATGTAATTGCACTCTCGCAACAAGATGACTGTGACTTAATAAAATTGAACTTCAAAGGAAAATTTAATCAAACAAATCAGTGGCAAGATTTATTTTCTGTCACAGATTTTTTTTATGTACAGAAGAAAAAGATTTGGTCTATTTCTCTGAAATTTGCCAAAATTACAGATTACAAATTACATTTTTATAGTACATAAACTTTTGCACTGTAGGACTAGCTCTCTTTTGTTGGATGGTGCCTGTGGAAGAGTCGCACTGCAGTAGCTGCACATCCAAACCTTTCCTGTCTTCTACATGTCATTTGTATTCATGCACATATTAAGCATATCATTTTTTATGCCCAACCTCCAACCAACACACACACTTAAAAAAAATTCATAAAAAGATCCATCAGCTGCAGAATTAAAGCAGTGCATATGCAAATTATCTAATTATATTACATGTAAATTCCCAAAGCTCTGGGGGAACAATGCATTTCAGTGTCTTATTTCAGTTTAACAATATTTGTATTTTTTTTAAAACATATTGTGTTCCCAGACAGTATAACAAATGCATGTAACTTGCTTTAGATTTGTGTAAATTTAATTAGTTGGTCTTTTACTGCAGGTTGTAAAACATAAAAATAAAATCAACAGCAGTTAAACAGTGGGCTGGGTCCCTGATTAAATGATTATGACTTGTGTGGATAAAACAAACGAAAAAGGGGGTGCTGATGCTGCCATGTTGATACTTAGTCACGCTTTCACTGTTAGTTACTGAAAAATAATAATAATACAACAAAACATGGGTTGGGTGAATGATTTCTTTTTCAAACTGCAACACAATGCAAGTGATACAAATATATTATAGCCCACAGTCAGCTGATTAACTCCATTATATTCTTGATAATACAGAGGACACTGTAAAATAGGAATAAAGCTCTTTCAGTTTCCAGCTGCTTGCAGCTGTTTTATAATACTCTTGTGGTAGGCTCATTACAGTATTGATCTATTAAACCATTGTCATAGACACTAGTATTGGCTGGCCAGACACAAGTCAGGACTTAAACTACAACCAAACATCCATTCAACGTCTCATTTCAATGCAATTAAAATTAAAACCTGCAGGAGGCGCCAGAGGACGCGCATAGGATTATCTGAGGGCGCCTTTATAGTGTTTTCACGTCGACAAACTAGTCCAAGCACGGGTGTTATGTGCTCACATACAGTTAATATGTTAAATACTTTTCTGTAATTGTCTTATGAATACACCCTAACTACCTTTCAACAGAAACGATTGAAACGGACTAAAAACTGGATATAATACTTCAATTAGATAAGACATCCTAAAATGCCAGAAATGGCTGTGTAAGATATGAAATCTGAGTAATTCAGATGAATTTAATGCATAAGTCAATCAAAACGAACGAGGGAAACGTAACGAGAATTAGCTGTAACGAAACGGCTGTTATTACAACAGCGACGTTTCGATCGTCAAATCATAAAAGCTTATATAGACCCAATTTGGCTAAATTAATTTTAAAAGTGGCCTTGTGTTAACGAGCAGCCTTCATACTATGTGTACTGATAACTGTTTGTGTGTGCTGCTGTAAAAAAATAAATAAATAAAATAAATAAATAGAAAATCCAGGCGCGATTATCGCAACGAAATGTGTCGTTCACGATTAAAGAGCTGGGTGCAAGTCCCCCAAAAAACGGAGAAAAACACATACTTCATAAAATAAAATAATAATAAAATAAAACAAATCATCAACGTAACACTATCTGAAGAATAACACTCTTATTCTCACGTCACTGCTTTCCAGCTTAATCTGATTGCACTTCGCATTCTGATTAAGTCGCAAAAATGGCAAAAATATATATATAAAAGAAAAAAGGGGAATAAAAGGAATAAAAAAAGAACAATGATTAGGGAGGGGGAGGGCTGGAAGAGAGGAGGCAAACAATGGAGAATCAAAGCATAATAATATTCCTAAACGAAGAGGGAAATGTTGCCTCGCTCATTTTATTAATCAGACTGTCAATTTCACCCAAGAGGCCAAACCCAAGAGCGATCTACAACAGACTCAGAGATCAACCCAGGGACAAGCACCTCGCTCCTCACTTCTCTCTTCCTCTCCACTTGGATATTATTCGTCTGACCGAAGGCCGCCTCCATCATCAAGTGACAGCCCTCTCCTATTTATTTGCTTATAAACCTGTTACAATAAATGATCATTGGAGCAACGTCAGCCCAGCATTTTAACAACGAACAGCAGCCACTTTTGATGAATGACATTTTGCTGCTGTGGGGAGGATGCACGGCTCATTTTGAGCAGTCGCTCGTCGATTGCGTTTAGATTCTTTCATTTTTGCGTCTTGCTTATAAAAAGGTTTAGAGACAGTTATTTAGACACAGTTGCAGGAGTTGCATGCGGATTTAGCTCCGACACAACTCATTGGTGCTCCAGCCCCCTGGACAAGTGTTGTGTGTGTGTCTGTGTGTGTGTGTGCTTTTTTTTCTTCTTCTTCGTCGTCGTCGTCTTCCACGGCTTAATGATGGAGAGGATAAGAAAAGAGATGATATTGATGGAGAGAGGTCTCCACAGTCCTGTCGCCGGGAAGAGGCTCGCAGACACGCCTGGAAATTCAGTGCTGGAGGCCCTGGAAAACTCCCAGCACGGCGGACGACTAAGCCCGAGAATAACTTCCGCTTCCCTCCATGGAAATCTTGGGGACATCCCGACGAAAAGCAAATTTGAAATTGACAGTCTTTTCGGTACACACCACGGCAGTGAAAATTCTTCCTCGGCGGAGATTTCCTCGTCAGAAAGCAGGAAGAAAATGAGCCTTTACTCCGAAGTTTCGCAAGAATCAGATATTAACAGTGATGTGGAAGTGGGATGCCCTGCGCATCGCTCCCCGAGCCAGCACAAGGAAAACAATAAAGGTAAGATTTTATTTTCATCAGTTTTTCTCTCGGCAATCATTTTGGACATGAACATTACTATTATTGTTGTTATTGTCGACTATTTATTTTATCCAAGGACAAAAAATTCCAAACCAAAACCCTAAATTATTATTATTATTATTATTATTATTATTATTATTTTATTATTATTATTATTATTATTATTATTATTATTATTATTATTATTATTATTATTATTATTATTAGTTACACAAACGTCTTGTTATTCTACTACACTGTGAAATCCGGTAGGCCCACTCACAAGTAAAGCTGAATTACTATTATTAGTATTAGTATTAATCTTATTATTATTACTGCGAAAGTTTTATTTTTTATTTATTTTTTTAATTTTCAGGTTTTTCAGACAGTAGCTCTGGATCTTCCAACACAAGCTCAAACTCCCTCCAGAACATGAACGGTAATTCAACGGTGGGATCAAACAATTCAAATGCCGATCAAGTCAGAAGGTATCGGACTGCTTTCACCAGAGAACAAATCGCAAGACTGGAAAAAGAGTTTTACAGGGAAAATTATGTTTCGAGACCGAGAAGATGTGAGTTAGCGGCGACGCTAAATTTGCCCGAAACTACAATTAAGGTACGTTGCAAAATTAAGCTTGAATAAATATTCCTCTGTGTGTGCGCGCGCGCGTTGTGTGTGACGTGCACGTGTTTTTGTGCATGGAAAGCAATGATGTGACTATTTAAAAGCAAACACATTAATAGCAACAGTGAAAATACTCTGCAGTTTAAAACAGGGGCCGTGTTATCTTTATTCGTGCGCATAAAATGGTGCAGACATTTTTTTAATTTATTTTATCTTGCACACACTCACACAAAATGCGATTTTACTAAACAGCTAAAGATGTGGATAGTGACAAATTTTACGTTATGGATCCAAGTAATTTGTACATTAATCCATTAAAACAAGAATAAGTGCAAAACAATATACCCCCCTTTACTTTAACGGATTGATAATACTGCAATAAGCCGATCATTACTTCGAGAACATTTGCATGAAACATTTGAAATCAGCGCAGGTAACGTGTCTGTCCAGCTCAGCTCTTCAGAGGTCTGAGCTTGAAAACAACATGGCAGCTTCAATATGGGGCTTGTTTTGACTCTGTGTGCAGGTGTGGTTCCAGAACAGGCGGATGAAGGATAAAAGGCAGCGTTTGGCGATGTCCTGGCCCCATCCAGCAGACCCTAGCTTCTACACTTACATGATGACGCACGCGGCAGCTACAGGAAGTCTACCTTACCCTTTCCACTCGCACATGCCTCTACATTACTACCCGCACGTCGGTGTCACGGCAGCAGCAGCGGCCGCCGCCGCCACCGGTGCCGCCTCGTCACCTTTCGCCACTTCCATCCGCCCCCTCGATACCTTCCGAGCGCTCTCCCACCCATACTCACGGCCAGAGCTTCTATGCAGCTTCAGGCACCCGGGACTCTACCAGTCGCCTGCAGGCCTGAATAGCTCGGCCGCTGCATCCGCGGCGGCTGCGGCCGCGGCCGCGGCAGCTGCGGTAAGCGCTCCGTCAGCCACCGGGCCCTGTTCGTGCCTGAGCTGCCACAGCAGCCAGGCGGCAAGCGCATTGGGCTCCAGGAGCGCCAGCGCTGACTTTACCTGCACAGCTTCCGGGCAAAGATCCGAGAGTGGATTTCTGCCGTATTCTGCTGCGGTTCTAAGTAAAACTTCAGTCCCGTCACCAGACCAGCGAGAAGAAACTTCACTTAACAGATAACTGATCACGCAGCCAACGCGACCGTTTCCTATTTTGCTCCAGTCCTACTTTTAGGGGTGGGGTGGGGGTATTAGGCCTACTACTTTAAATGGGGAGTCCCACCTGGGCGATGCATTAGGCGGTATCATAAACACACCGACACTCGAAGATTAAAAGTCTAAAAGTGATTCAACTGGAAGAGACTGTTTTTATTAAAACAAACACTGATACCCAAAACTCTGAAAATTTTGCAGCTAGTAACTTTTTTAAAGGCTTATGGTCGTGTGTTGAACTATTTTTACGGGAGCTACTGGATTAATTTACACATTTGAGGGGAGAAAAAAACATTTTAGCTTTTTTATTTAATAATGTCCCACTGCCTCAATAAATGTATCATATTTATATTTTTTCCCCAAATGAAAACATAAACTTCAACTTAAATGTCCAATACTCTGTGTGACAAACCCAGCCTTGGCTATCTCGGCTCCTTTAGTTTTCGGATAAAAATGTGAACTAATCATGCTTATCTAAATTTAGATATAGCAGACGGTCTACTTTTCTGCCCAGCAGCATATCTTTCTTCACTATAGGTCTAATAGACTGAGATTTTGGCAGCAATAGCTTCTCCAACACCCAGCCTCGGCTCTATAGGGACACCTCTAATCAGCTAGAAGGTGCATATAATTTTGCACCGCGTCTTTCGCGTCAAGTTTTATGTTAATAATGAGAGGATCATGACAAAAATTGCCAATCATGTACCTAGATGGAGCTCCTTTGAATACATGACTGTAAGAAAGTTCCTCGTTTTGAGACCCGCTGTCAAGTGCTAACAACCCGCGGAGGGAAGTCATTAGACATACAAAAGACCTGGAACAAAGCGACAGTCCTGGCACACAGAACGCACTGTATGAGGATGCTGTATCTGACACATGGACGGTTATAAAATATTACACACAAAGTAGCTTTCCAGGACCCTTTGATTTTTTCTGATAATGGCAGATACCTCGATATATCAGTCTCTTTTATTTGCATTGCTGCACCTCATTATATCAATCCAGTATTTTCATACGTGGGCTATCTAATCCCTATAGGACCTCTTCACCCACAATGACGGGACGGAGCAAGGCGAGAGTTCAGATAAAATAGCCTGGCTTTACAATCTGTCTGCGCCTGTAAAATGGCTATGTGCATTTTAGTTGTTCCTGTTGGGACATCACCAATATGTTAATTATAAAACATGTGAACTGTAAATCGTTAAATATTTTCCAAATAGTCCTACTGATAGCTTAAAACTGAAATATTGATCCGGAAAAATGTACCACGAAATGTGGATGGTAGGCTATTTTTAAAACTTTTTTTTAATTTATTTTGTGACTTGTTGAATGTTTCTTTTTAAATGTTAAAACACTGGATCCCATAGCCAACAAACTGGCTTGTAAATTCACCAATGGTCCAAACTCATGACCTGTTTTGGGGGTTTGTTTGTTTGTTTTTTCGTGCAAATTTATACATTTACTATAGAGATGGAGAAAAATTCTTATGATCCACTCAAAAGAGGCTTGGAAGGGCTGATAAACGGGCACTGAAATTAAATGGAAAAATCTACTGGCCTTTGTCCCCATGGTCTCTGTTATAACTCTATATCTCTGTATTTAAAATATCAATGACTGTATGAATTTAAATATTTTAACTTGAAAAAAATGTGCAATATGAAATGTAAATTATGTTATTTATTGATCGTGTTTGTTCTTGGAAAGTAAATAAAAAAAGTCTTTACACATTTCCGTTTCTTCACATGAATGACACATTTTTAAAAAATAATTGTAACCCTGGATGCTACAAATTATTATGATTAATTTTGAATTTAACTGCTTAAAATAATGTAAACATTTTTTCTGCGTATGCTTATAGCGACATTGAAGGCACAGGCTTATTTAAGTGCCGCTGCACCATATCTATACCCAGTCTAACATTAATTAAAAATACGTGGAAAGCTACAGGGAATATGAGGCCTGCCATCACGGGTCATTCCGGCCCTATAATTTACCATTATTTTTACATTACCTCTAAATGATACAAGCTGATACTGTCGTTAATTGCACTTGGTTAAATATAGCCTACACCAGAATGCCCCCAGGGGACTTCAAGATAAGTTGCTTTTTTGAACGTCCCCATTAAAGAAATAGGATTAGGGGAGCAAATATGGGCGTGATATATCACCAGGTTTACTTGCTCTTTACTAAAGAGAGGGCTGCAACCCATGCAACAAAGGCACTGAGATAGATGGAGGTGTAAAAAGGAAAAGACAGAGGCCAGAAAAACACTGTCCACAATAACACGATTAGTTTTGTATCCAATGTGCAAGACAGAAAAAGAGAATTCATCATAATGCAGAGGACTGTCTGTCACCTTCACTGAATGGTTTTTGACAAGAAAATAAATCTTTTGGGTTGTTTAATATATTTTATATTTTCTTTATTTCAGTGCTAATAGAAAAACCAAATTAAAATGTCCACCAGCGAAATAGAAATGCAAAGATCGATGATCCTGCAGCTACTGTCCAATCACCCCTATTTAATTGACTGTATTTTCAGGGTAATTGAACTGCTTGTTGTAAATTGAGGATTTTATAGAAACGACATGAAAACTACATTTACTGACATTCATCGCATCTTTGACATTGATTATCTGATCAGCGCCGTGTCATGCTAACCTCCAATTCTTCATTACACACTGTTTATGAGCTGTTACAGAACAACTTGCTTGTTCCAGAGTGATTGATTGCCTTATTAACGCGTGTTCTTGTAAGTGTGACCGGACTGATTACGATGCATATGTTTAGAATAATGTTTCATTTAGCTGACTGCGAGTAATGCAGGGTGACAGCTGCTGCGGGAGGACAAAAAACCTAAACTACAGGGAGCAAGCGGGGCCAAAACGCATTTAAGGTGGAACTAGAAGACAACACACGGCCCTGTGGTCAAATAGTCGTTCAACGCCACATAACGGACTGGCAGCTCAGCTGGGTCTTCAGTGAGCCAACTGGGAACTAAAACAGCTATTTTGTTACTATTGTAGGTTTAAAAGCATAAACCCGAGTCCATTGTAGCGTGCACTCCAGCTGAGCGTATATAAAACATATATGATACAGTAAAAGTGACTTCCCAGCTATTATTTAAAATGGTGGCGAAACCTATCAAGACAGCAACAACCAAAAAGCATCTTTGAGGTAGACGTTTTCATATTTAGCTAACATATTTCTCCAAACTCTTGGATTAAACGCACACCACAAACGGGAGCCTGATGAGATTTATGCCACCATTATGCTTCTAAAGTAGTCTCTGCTCTGTTTGTCTCAAATCATTGCCTCTGTTCAAATGTTACTTTCATATATTACATGGCATTAATTCAACTATAGCTCATTAAGACAGAATGAAATGGTTAAATTAACTTATCAACTCATAATGATGATGAATGGGGTATTAATTCAGATACAAGCTGGGTAATTTGCAATTTTGCGCGTTTTGATGGTTCTCAAATAACATTTAATATAGCGGGTCATCCCCTCAATCAATTACATGAACATGTGAGTCGGTCGTATGGAAAATCCCCTTTTCATGCATATGTATTGAAACATGTTCTCAATTATTTTTGGAAATTGCTTTTATAGGTTTTAGAGTGATTCTTTCAGTGGTTCTTCACTCTGGTTCTAGTTAAGGTGGTACTCCAAATTGCCACTCTTTTTTTCTGAAAGGTCTGTTAAGCCTGTAGTGTTGCATTTTTAAAAACCATGTGTGGAAAACACGATTTATTAGGAAAAGAAATTCAGCGTTTTATTTTAAACCCTTTTTCCCGGTACTGAAAAAGCATTACATCTCATCAAATTAGTCACAAATTCATCACTTATTTATTTATTTGTTTATCTGGGTAAAGGAGCTGGGTTAAGGTGGGGCAAGGTCAACGTAAAGACCAAGAAATAGACAGGTTAAGATACAATTACAATGGATTAAAATTGTTTGCGACCTAAAATGGTTATATTGTTGTCAGGAGTCCCAAAGCAGTTCACAAAATGCTGTATTAAAAATGATATTAAATACTGTTCAAAATATGGTTCTAAGAGTAAATACAGAGTTAACATCATTTCCACGATTTTCAAATTTGTTCCATCTTAGCCTCACTGAGATTTACACTGCCCCCCTGTTTTTGTAATGTTCTGTGGGAAAGTGTCCCAGTGTTTTAAGTAGCACACAACGGAATTTCCACTCACTGAAATTGCTGCCTTGGTACCAATATTGGTTCCCTAGCTAATCTAGACTAGTTTCAGGTCTATTTGACCGGAGTCAGATTATAAATATTCCTTTGAGCAGACCAGTTATTTTCAACAGTGTTTTCAGTATAGACAGCGTGTTGTAGACTTGTTTCTGCTGCAATACTCAAATAAGTATGCTTCTCCAAAACGTACTTTTTGGAGTGACCAAACATGAAGCAACAAGATATATTGAAAGTCTCCGGGGATGCAAAAAATATTTTAAAAAACACAAAAAAAAAACGTCCTGAGTGCATGAATATTTTGACTGGCGGTATAGTTCCATCATTGGAACATCTATACACCACGATAATAAAAAAAAAAGTGTACACTTAATTTTTGGGCTTTTTTGCATGGGAAAATTGCTCTCTGCGCTGATAACTTCTCCGCTGGAACCCGAGCACGTTAAAGCCGAAATAAAAAGTGAAAGAGGACGCGCGTATTCTACAAACATTCTGCGTGAATGTATAAAATACACTGTATTATTTTCTTTTTTTGAGTTGATTACAGAGTGACCCGTCAGTTTGTACTTACTTAGAGGCAGGAATACAAAGCAGAAATTTAAATGAATTGGCTACAATTTTAAAGAGTGCCACAGAAACAGTAAATGGAAGATAAAAACCTCAAACAGACGGGGTTAGTAACACAACAATGAAGAGTCAGCACCAGAGAAAGTGTATTTGGGGAGATACTTTACCCACAGTGGTTCTAGTGTCATATACATGTAGTCATTAAACGTCTGTAAATTGATAGCTTTCTCCAGGGGCGTGTCTTAAAAGGAGCTGGGGGTGCCCTTTCACCCCCACCCAGCCCACACTTCTAGGAATATAGAGTGCTCCCTCCATCCCAAAGCCACTGAATCAGTGAACGTTTTTCCATTTTTAAGTGTATAAATATTCTGATACTCCACTTTACTTTGCTGTAAAAATTGTTACTTATAGTTGTTTTTTGTTTTTTTGTTTTTGCTGTATATAACTGATGCAATGTTACTAAAGATTAAACACAAAAAGGCATGAAGTAATACAAA